GTGCCAATACCCTCTGCCATTATCAGGGCAGCAGTATTTATCGAGGAGAGGTCTGCTAGGAAAAATCTCACCAGCTTTCTAGCCACAAGCCCACTTTGCCCTCTTGCTTGGTAGCTCTCACTGTGTAAGGAAGTGTCCACAAGACTGTCAGTGGCTTGGTTCTTGGCTTGGGGTTGGATGTGAACTGAGTTTGCAGCATGATTCATGGGGAGGTCACGCGTTTTGGAATTGACATGCTTAGGAACTTGGACAGGTACCAAGAAACCCCACCACGTGAGAGAGCTGCAGACAGAACAGGTGGGTAGTTTTTAGGGCCAGTTTGGCCCTAGAAGCATTGACTCTGGCATGTCTCTTCCTCTCTCTGAGGATGAGTTTTTTTCCTAATATAAAGTGTCAAGAAGGTCACATCTTCCCTGCTTTCTTCAGTCAGTTATTGTGAAGACGAGCTGAATGATTACTGAAAAAGTATGCCACATGGTTGCAAAGTGCTATTCAAGTGTGAACCACTGTCACTGGCAAGGAATGATAAGTGCTTCTCTACCATCATCAGTTAGAAATGAAATTGCTCCTCAGAATATTCCATATTCTTCAGATCGTGAGTGGAGGTCTAATTCCACATGGAGAAGATATTTCTTTTCCCCTAAATGTCTTCTGATTTGAAAACTACCTGCTCTAAGTGGACTCCTGGATGCTGTCTAGCTGCCTTGTGCCACCAGAATAATGATCTCCCTTGGACTGGGAGCCCAGTGGATCCTGTATGTGAGTGAGATTCTGTGTCCCTCTTGCCTCGGGATTCAAGGTCTCTTGCTCCACAAGAAGCCCACAGAACTCAGGGCCATCCAGTGAAAAAAATGGACTGCAAAGTCAACCCTATTGGTTTCTTTATTTCAGATGTCAACCCAAAGTGTTTTGAGTCGGGACAAATACATGTTTGCTCAGGGCTGGCCCCTTGGAAAAGCATGTCGTTTGTCTTTGACTCCTTTTTTCTTGGGGATCTGGCTCCTTCTCCTACTTTTCTGTATCCCTCTTCACAGAGATAGTGATGGTAGGCTGCCTCTCCTTTCCAGAACTCCCTGCTGGAATACCAGCCTCAGTCTCGAGGAATGCTGCCCAATAGGGTTTTCTATGAGGGTGGAAATGTTCTAATCTACTCTGTCTAATGGTTGCCACTAGGCACAAGAGGCTGGTAAATATATAAAATGTACCCAGTTTGACTGAGGAACTGATTCTGAATATTATTCAATTTCAATTAATTTATATTTAAATGTTCGCATGTAGTCAGTGGCTTGCACATCAGACAGTACAGCCCTAGAGCTCAAAATCTGTCTTTTCAGTCTCTCCATTGCAATAACAATGAAACTGTCTTGTATCCCAATCCTAAGGCTATCTTCTTAGAGCTGATTATTGAAGAAAGTGTGCCACATGGTTGCAAAGTACTATGTAAGTATGAACCACTGTCACTGGCAAGCATCAGATTCACTAAACAAATTGCTATAAGTTAAAGTCTTAGCCCTCTTAAGTAAGTGTGTGGATTTTGAGTAATGGCATACTTTAGTGGATGCAGAGTCTCAACATCAGGAACATGAGGAACAGTGGCAGGTAAGAGGTAGGTGAAAGGATTATGGACATAGAAGTTTTAGATGTACATCAAAGCATACCCAATGGATGGGCACATCCTCCCTAGTGCCCCAAGCTGGAGCTGCTCCTCCCAGTCTCTAGCAATCTGGGAATAGTTAAGGTTAGCAGTGTGTGGATGGAAGCCTGAGAAAGGCTGGAGGTGGGAGGATTGGAATGGGCAGAGCCCAGAGGATGCCAGGAGCTCTTGCAAAAGAATCTGGCATGCCAGGCAGAGAGAAGTTTGTTCCACCCTGGACTGGGTGTGGGGTGCCTGGGAGTGATTGTTAGGGAGTGATCATTACTACTGGGACAGGATTGGAAAGTTAACAGTTAAGTTCAAGAGAAACCAGATTAAAGGTCACAGAATGGACTATGGCACTTTGGACTTAGTCTTGAACAGAAATTGCAATTCTATGCTTAATTTTTAATCTCCTCCTTTAGGAAATTTGCCCCCCCTCAATTATTTTATGAATGTTGCATTCTGGATTTTTTTTTTCTCTGAAACTGAGCTGTGTTTCTGTTTCTCTTGGATGACCAGGTAGCTACTTTCAAGTTCTTGCCTGTGTTTTCATAGACATTCACTGGCATCAGAAGCATCTTTGCAATTCAAACACCAGGTTGGGTAAAAAGGGGAGGATAATAGGGGGTTGGAGGCTGGGGAGAGGGGAGAATGAAAGGCCCTTGAGGAGCACTTCAAGATGAACAGAAAGAATTCATACCAGCTCTAGTGCGCTGGGATTTACTCTCAGGGCTTTGGTTTGCCAATTGATATCACAGGTAAGCCTGCTACCACCATCTTGCATGCTCTACACAACTTAGTGAATTAAAAAAAAATATTTTGAATAAAGCCACTGCCCAGAATGGGCACCTGTTTGTTTAAAAATATCAAATTTGCAAAGTAAATTGGACACTATATTTCAAATCTTTCCTGCAAAAATATGGTCTATAAATAAATCTATATGTAAATACAAAGTAGTGGCCAAATCCCCCGGTGCTTTGCAACATAGTTCAGACTACACCTTGCTTTCTGGACCTTTTCAGCCTCTAGAAGGAGAGGACTACTCAGTATTCCACAGTACAGTTCTATCCCACACCTCTTATTTGCTTTTCCTTCATGTAAATACCATAAGGCATTTGGTGTCAAGGGGTAGAAGGCCAGGCAAGAGAAAGAAATTCAAAGAAGTCCAAATGGGTTGATCCACCAGTTTCAAAGTGATCAGATACTCTTGGGCAGGGTTATCATGATCTGGAACCCAGAGCATTTTGACCACTGATGGCATGCATTCCTTCTGCAAATATATGTTAATGTTTACCCTGAACGTGATACATTTCAGCCCATTTTTCTGAAAGACAGAAGTGCCTGCTGGGCTGAGGTAACTTGGAGCAGTGGGTTTTTTTTTTTTTTTTTTGAGTTGGAGTCTCACTCTGTCGCCCAGACTGGAGTGCAGTGGCTGCTTCCGGCCACCGAGCCTCGACCTGCTGGACTCCGGCGATCCTTCCGCCTCAGCCTTCCCAGTAGCTGGAATTACAGGCATGCGCTACCACGCCCGGCTGATTTTTTTGATTTATTGTAGAGATGAGGTCTCACTGCCCAGGCGGGTCTCGAACCCGCGGGCTCAGGCAATCCACTCCCCTCAGCCTCCCAAAGGCGCGGGATTACAGGCTGAGCCACCGAGCCCGGTTAGCAGTGGTTTTTGAAAGGGGAAAATTTGGTCCCACTCAGGGAACATTTGATAAAGCCTGGAAATATTATTTTATTGCACTTCAAGGAAAAAAGTTTTGTCCTCTTCAGAATCTTTTTTTTGAGTTGGAGTCTCACTCTGTCATCTAAGCTGGAGTGTAGTGGCATGCTCACAGCCACCACAGCCTCGACCTGCTGGGCTCAGGTGATCCTTCTGCCTCAGCCTTCCAAGTAGCTGGAATTACAGGCGTGTGCCACCACACCAAGCTAATTTGTTTATTTATTGTAGAGACAAGGTCTCCCAAGTTGCCTAGGTTGGTGTCAAACCCATGGGCTCAGGCAATCCTCTCACCTCAGCCTCCCAAAGTGCTGGGATTATAGGCGTTAGCATCCGTGCCCAGCCTTCTCTTCAAAATCTTAAGCAACATCTGAAGACGTTCGTTGTGGGTTGTTACAGTTGAGGTGGGGTGATGTCCTACTGGTATTTAGTGGGAGACACCAGTACTTCTAAGTATCATACAATGCACAGAAGAACTCCACAACAAAAATGACCCAACTCAGAATGTCAACAGTGTCGTTGGAGAAACTCTGGTCCAGAGGCAAAGTTCAGGCTCAGTTCTTGATACTGAAATAGCAGGTGGCTCTCAAAGGGCTATCACTTTTTCAATGTGAAAAGACTCCCAAGAAATCCCAGAAAAATTTTGCTTGGAATTCTTTTCCCAACCAATTACCTTGTCAGTTTCTTATCTTCACAGCTTCTTTTTTTTTTTTTTGTCTCACTCCGTCACCCAGGCTGGGGTGCAGTGGCACACTCACGGCTACTGCAGCCTCGAGCTGCTGGACTTAGGCGATCCTTCCACCTCAGCCTTCCAAGTAGCTGGAACTACAGGCATGCGCCACCACATCTGGCTAATATTTTTTATTTATTGTAGAGACGAGGTCTTGCCAAGTTGCCCAGGTTGGTTTCGAACCTGTGGGCTCAGGCAATCCTCTCGTCTCGGCCTCCCAAAGTGCTAGGGTGATAAGCGTGAGCCACTGCTCCCGGCCCTTCACAGGTCCTTAACTTCCTCTGTGAGAGAGTATAGCTGACTTAGAGTTACACATATCAACTCATCTCAGTGGGTCTAGATCCTGTTTGACTATAGTATGGACACAGGCAAGCCATGGGGCTTAGTTTCTCCATCTGTTAAATGGAGTACTAGTACTACAAGACCTATTTTCCAGTCAATCCTGGCAACCTGGGGTTTACTTACTGCTGGTAAATGGTGAGGATCTAGAACTTGTTGCCTGAGAATCTTGCCATAGGGCTCAGAGCAGGGAGACATGCAGCCTTGACAATATTAGAAGCAGAAGTAGGACTCAGAAAGCTGTGGCAAGAATTTGTGTAGGGTTGCTTGGAAAATAAAAGCTAACAAAATATTTCTCTTTCTAATGATAAAAGTAACACATTGTACCACCAGGATATATCAGTTATTAAAAGCTTTGGTATTTTCTTTGGGAGAGACAGAAGGGGATGAGTATCAGGTTCTGAGCTGGGCGGGCTGGGGCGATTGTAAAGGTCTGTGAGGATAACGGAAGCTGCCTGATTGGTTTGGGATTACATTCTCTGTGAACCAAGAGAGTTGAGTTCCTGACCTTGCCTGGATGAATGGACAGTAGGGCGGTGCTGAGATCAAGGGGCAAGTGATCAAGTCCTCCTTACCTTCAGGGTTCATGTGGAAAACATCCTTAGTGTCCGCCTCCATGAATAGGAGAAGAGTTCTTTAGCTGAAAGAGGAAATGGCTCATTTTAGCTCAAAGATGAGAAAATAGGAGATGCCATTTCTGGCTCACTTTGCAGCACTTAACTTGGCTGAACACTGTCACTTCAGTGATAGGCATAAGATAGCTAGCCCTCATTTTCTGGAAATAGCTTTTTGGTAACCTAATTATGAAGTAATTTCAATCTTACAGAAAAGTTATAAAAATAGCAAACAAAACAAAACAAAACAAAAACACCCCCAAGAAACAAATTTCATGTTCTCTTAACCCAGATACCCCCAGTTGTTAATATTTTACTGCATGTAATTTATCTTTTTTATATATAAAAATTAATATTTTGTTCAAATCATTTGAGGATTTGTCACAGTCATGATGACTCTTTACCCCTAAATATTTCAGTGGGTTTCCCTAAGAATAAAAACATTCTCTTACATAGCACAGTGTGATGATTAAAATCAGATTAAAATTAGAAAACTAACATAGATACAGTATTATTATTATTATTATTATTATTTTTGAGTTGGAGTCTCACTGTCGCCCAGACTGGAGTGCAGTGGCCGCTCCTGGCCACCGCAGCCTTGACCTGCTGGGCTCTGGCGATCCTTCTGCCTCAGCCTTCCGAGTAGCTGGAACTACAGGCACGCGCTACCACGCCAGGCTCATTTTTTGATTTATGGTAGAGATGAGGTCTCGCCTGCCTAGGCGGGTCTCAAACCCACGGGCTCAGACAATCTACTCACCTCAGGCTCTCAAAGGTGCGGGATTATAGGCTGAGCCACCGAGCCCGGCTGATACAGTATTTTTTGTGTGTGTGTTGGGGTAATGTTGCCCTAATACAATGAATTTGGGAGTGTTCCTTTTTCTTCTATTTTTTTGGAAATGTTTCAGAAAGACTGCTATTAGTTCTTCTTTAAATATTTGGTAGAATTTACCAGTGAAGTCATCAAATCCAGGGCTTTTTTTTGTCAGGAGATCTTTGATTACTAATTTGATATCCTTACAAATTATAGCTCTATTTAGCTTTTCTATTTCTTTATCATATAGTTTTGGTAGGTTGTGTATTGCTAGGAATTTGTCAATTTGACCTAGATGATCTGATTTGTTGGTGTACAAATGCTCATGGTACTTTCTTATAACTTGTTTTGTTTCTGTAGATTTGGTAGTAGTCTCCACTTTCATATCAGATTTTAGTAATTTGTGTCTTGTCTTTTATAGTCCATCCAGCTAAACAATTATGCTCATCTTTTCAAAGAACCAACTTTTGATTTCATTTATATTCTCTATTATTTCTCTATTATTTTTAAGTGATAAAGTTTGGTTGTTGAGATAGTTCTTGTTTTTAAATGTAAGCATTTATAGCTATAAGTTTTCCTCTTGGCACTGTTTTAAATGTGGCCTATAAGTTTTTGTATGTGATGTTTTCATTCACGTTGTTTTCTAATTATTTCTAATTTCTCTTGTTATTTCTTCTTTGTTCCATTGGTTGGTTAAGAGTGTGTTACTTAATTTCTACAGATTTGTGTATTTTTCAGTTTTCTTTGTTATTGATTTCTAACTTGATTCCCTTGTTCTCAGAGAAGATACTTTGTATCTTTTCAATCTATTAAGACTTAATTGATAGCCTAACATATGGTCTATCTTGGAAAAGGCTTCATGTGCACTTGAGAAGAATATGTATTCTGTCATTGTTGGATAGAGTGTTCTGTATATGTTTGTTAGATCTAGTTTGCTTATTGGGTTGTTTAAATTTTCTACATTTTACTTATGTTCTGTCTGTTTCTTCTATCCATTATTGAGAAGAATATTGAAGTCTCCAACTGTTATTGTAGAACTGTCTTTTTCTTCCTTTAGTTCTATTTTTGCTTCATATATTTTGATGATCTCTTTTTAGGTATGTAAATGTTTATAATTGTAATATTTTCTTACCGCATTAAAATTTTTATCAATATAAAATGTCCAGTGTCTCCTCTAAACTGTTTTGATTTAAAGTCTATTTTGTCTGAGGTAGTATTATCATCTTTGCTCTCTTTTGATTACTATTTGCATGGAATATTCTCTTTCTTCCTTTCACTTTCAATCTATTTGTATTTTTTGGATTTAAAATGAGTCTTTTGTTGGCAGTATGTAGTTAGATCTTGTTTCTTAATTGTTCTGCCATGATACAGTATTATTACCTAACCTATAGAGATTACTAGAATTTTGCCAGACTTCCTAGTTGGGATTAAATTTTATGAAATTTGGTCCTGGAGACATTAATTTATTGGCAAATTCTGACATAGTAATAGAAATATGGAACTGGCTACTCTAACTTGAAGCTCAAATTTAATCCTATCTTATTGGTTCATATGAACATTGGCATGAGAATACTTTGTGAAGTGTAACTCTAGGTGGGTTGTGGGCTTATAGAAGTTAGGCTGTGCCCACCCAGAGTCATAGCCCCCATAGTCCCCAATATACCTGGCTCTAGGTTTTGTATAAGAACGTTCAAACTGTGTGAACTGACTGGCCTGGGTCTGTGATGCATGAGGGGACAACTGCTAGAAGTGTGGATCTGAGTTAGAAAACAAATGGTTTCAGGACATGCATGCAGAATAGGCTTCTTAAAATGGGCTTTGTTATATGGACTACAATTCCTAATTTAGTCCTCGATTTTGCACATTTGTTTTGCAAAAGCAAACAATCTAACTAGAGGAGCAGAATCCAGACCCCTAAAGAGCATCGCTTGAGGAAACCAGTGCTAAATAATCTCCATGCTGACTACCATTAATGGAGGAGGAGGTGAGTGACAGGAAGCTGCGGATGGCCACCAGAGGTTTCCTGCTATTGACAATTTCTCTCTCTCTCTCTCTCTCTCTCTCTCTCTCACACACACACACACACACACACACAGCACTTTCTCAACACTGCTGCTGTTGGCATAATCAATCAAGAACACAGAAGTCCTTGCAGTCAAAGCCTATGATATGATGAGTGCCATCTGAGCATAAAAGAGCCAACCATGAGGCACTTGGTAATGAGGGGTCTGGTGAATCCAGAGCCTGTGACACAGATAGTCATTTTGGGCAGACTTCTCAGAAGCCATCAATTTTTCTCCACATTGAATTTTTTCATTTTAAAAACTCTGAATATTCTAGAAAACATTTTGGATTCTGGGAATTGTTTCAGGACTTCAAGTTCTCTCTTTGATAATGTCTTAGCTCTATTCAGTACAACTCCTGCTCTGTTCTGTTATTGCCCAAATAAAATCCAGACTTTCTTATACTCTTGATAGAAACCCTGAGGGGTTATAGCAAAGGGAGTAGAGGAGCAGGACAAGGGCTGTTGGGTGGTGGGGTGGAGAGTCTGAAACAACAAACAGGAGGGCATAAAGGAGATCATGGTTTCTCACTTCATTCATCCATCTATTATTAATTCAGCATTTATTAAATCCCTGGTACACCGTGTTAACCCTTGTCATTCTCTTTCCTGGCTCCCAGACCTATTCTTTACCTGCTTTGTACTCTTTGGGTCTGAATCCTGCGCCCTACAGCTTCAAGTAGGGGTGTACCCACAGGAGGCAGAGGGTGGGAGACAAACATGACAGGTTATTTATCCCTACCCCTTTTCCTCCCTCATAGCTGTGTTCTAGCAGTGTTTATATATCTTTTACCACAACCCTAACTGGGCAACCTCTCTGCCATGGCTCCAGCTATTACTGGGTCCCTGCAAAATTTGTCCCTCTCTGTCCATGCAGAGGGGCGAGTGACAAATTTCTTTGTTCTCTCCACCCTGCCCTTAGGTATGTAAATAGTCTCTTCATTACATTCTCTTAAAAATCCTAGCTGAGTATGCCATCTTTTTCCTGTCTGACCCTGAATGAGATAGCCCTTGAATATCAATGATTTGTGATTGCTTTGGACAAGCAAGAAAGATGTACATTTTGCATATACTTTCCAATACTAGGCTATACCAATACAGGGTGAAAAGACATAATAGAAGCTCTTGAGAAAATTATCTCAGAGATTTAGTCTTTTATATTGTTTAGTACTATGCTGTCAGTCAAAGACCAGCCTGATCTCTGGCCACATTATTAGAATTATGGCATATAGAACAAGGGAGGTGATGGTGCTACTTAATTCTGTCTCCATTAGCTTCCACCTGGAGTCCTGCACTCAATTCCTTGCTTCTCACTTTAAGGCATGTTACTTGTCTTTAAGTTCAGTCACATAGAGCAGAAGTTAAAAGCATTTTTCTTTAAGAGCTGAATAGTAACTATTTTTGACTTTGTGGGCTAAAATATTGCAAGTAGTCTGCTACTATAGTACAAAGTCAGCCATGAACAACATGTAGACAAATAAGCTTGACTGTGGCCCAGTGAAACTTTATTTACAAAGATAAACGGGCTAGATTGGCCTACAGGCCTTACTTTGCTGACCTCTGATATAAAGGAACAAGATAAACTTATTCTAGAGGTATCCATAAGGCAGAAGTTGTATCAATGTGTAAAAATCACTGGAAGGTAGATTTGCACTAATTTTAAGAAAGATTGACTGGGTATGGTGGCTCATGCCTATAATCCCAGCACTTTGGGAGGCTGAGGTATGAGGATTGCTCGAGGCCAGGAGTTTGAGACCAGCCTGGGCAATATGGCCATACCCTGTCTCTACAAAACTATAAAATAAAATAAAAAAAAAAATAAGCCACTCATGGTGGCACATGCTGTAGTCCCAACTACTCAAGAGGCTGAGGCAGAAGTATTGCCTGGGCCCAGGAGGTCAAGACTGATTGTGCTACTGCATTCCAGCCTGAGCGACAGAGTAAGACCCTGACTCAAAAAGAAAAGGAAGGGAAAGGGAAAGGAAAGGGAAGGGAAGGAAAGAAAAGGAAGAAAGAAAGAAAGATTGTACTAATGGTGATCAGTGTTTTTAAATAGAAAGAGATGTTTCATGACTCAGTAAAATTCTTGTCATTATTAGAGCTCAAAGCAGAGATTGATTGTTTTAGACTAATTTTCTGCAGAGCATGGA